GTTGGTGATCTAATGTTATTGGTAGGCCAAGCAAGAGAAAAACTAAGACATGACCATTGAATTTTGCAACAGGGGGGTTATTGATGACCTTCAAAAGATCAGTTGGAGTAGCTGCCAGCAGAAGCTTCCTGTTGTGCCAGACAATAACCCTTTAGTTTGTAGACTGTGGGAAAGTCCAGGGCATAACAGGGGATGGCCCAGGAGGCCCAGGCAGCCCTGGGCCACTAGAAGAGGGGTAACTGTTTTCGAACCAGAATGGGCATATTTCATTAGTTCAACAATGGTACAGTCCCAGTTGTGCGTATCAGCCCTGGTGATCTCATGTTGTGTTTCATGTAAAGTTTAATGTCCCCACTTGGATTTCTCTGCAACATTTCACTGCAGGCATGTAAAGCCACTTCAAACTAAACAAAGCCAAAAAGCAGATCCATCACCTCATATACCTGAAGACCAACAGAGGTCTGGCTCCAAGCATGGCTGGATCTCTGGGCTCAGTAAGTCCCAGCACACTGTAGGTGTGCACCCCATAGTGAGGATTTCCTTTGAGTTGACTCTGTACTTGGCAGGCTGTCCAAGCACAATGCCATCAATGTCCCCAGTAGCTCCAGTCAATAACTTAGGAATTCCACCACATGAGGAATGCTCTGTCCCATTAATTTTAGCAAAAATCCCAAAAATGATATTCATTTGCTGAAGTTAGGTTAGTGCCCATCCCAGAACTAATCAAGTGTTTTCATAGGCCAGATCAGTGTCCTGTGCCCACCCACCTTCTGGAAGTAGGATCAGTCCCACCAACAGCATAGACCAGACTGACAGGGCTATGGTTCCCTAAGATCATCACGGCTCTATTATCACAAGAAGGGTGAATACTGAGGGACCAGCAAAAGCAGATGGCCATCCCCTTGCTCCACGTGGAGAGCTTCCCCAGGCACCACAGCACTCATGAGCTGGACACTCATTTTCTCTCCTTCTGGAATTTTTCTCTCTTTGCATCAACTTTGACACACCACTTCGCTGAACCCCATTTGTCTCTGAAGATCACCCTCTTTCTTATAAATGATGCCTGTGATATCACTCAGTGGGCACCCGTCTGTCCCACAGCTGTGAACCTCACTCTGTCCATTCCTATACTGTTGCTCTGAGAGTCTTAGAGACGCCTTGCCCTGACCATACATACTTATGTCTGCACAGGTAAGCTTCTCTTCTAAATTTCTGCCCCAGATGGAGGGGAAGCAGACAAAGGAGAAGCAGAGGGAAGAATACATAAGAGGAGCTAAACCGTGGCTACAGCCACTAAGTTGGGGATCTGTACAAAAATGGCCACCAAGTGTCAGGAGAATTCTTGGCCCGGGGATGAGTCACAGGTGTGGAAATTACTCCTCACTCCTTTATAGGGATGACCCTAGACACCAACCTGTGTACCACCTTGCACCTGTGGGACGACTGGGCGCTGTGCTAATTTTATTTCCATTTTGTTTATTTTTTCCCTGATGGCTCCCTGGGCCCATAGGAGCAGAATCTTCATGGTCATTCTGCGCCTGCTGGCACAGCCCCAGCATATCTCCAAGCATGGAGGGCCTTGGGATATATAAAATGGGAAAGTTCTGGAGTCAATTGGGAATAATGCATAATGCACCACAGAAAGGCATATCTAAGCTTGTGGAAGGTGAGCTTTGATGAAATGGGGAAGCCCCAGTGGGAGGACTGGTCCTAGACTCTGGGACCACCCAAACAGCCAGGGACCTGGTGAGACTGTGTTGCAACAGCCAGCACTGGGCTTTGAGATCAAACCGATTTGGGATCATAGTAGTGGCTCAATAAATACTGTATCTTCGCTTAGTTTTAGTAATAATGCTGTATTTGTAGGCGTGTATATGGAACAATTGATTAAAAACAGGTGGCTGTCTGTGCTCTCAGACCTTGTGCATCTTTCTCTCTGGCTCTTCTCCCACCAGCCACACTGGACCTTCGGGAGTTTCAGAGAGGGAAGGCAACAGTGGTCCCCAGCCTTCAGAGGGCTTGGCTGGCCATTGCCCCATGCCTTGAGCAAACTTGATTATTTTCCATTTGGATAACTAAGGGAAATGTCCAATCCACACAATGAGTCTTGAAAAATACCCCTCTTCTTTTTGGACATTCTAGGAAACATGAGCTTCTCATCTCTGATAGAAGTGTGCAGTTTGTTCTGAGAGTTTTAAACTAGCCCGCGTCTTGGCCTGTGCTATAGGTTTTTGTATCTTCAGCTCCCAGCTTTTGAGAACTGATCTGGCCCCTCTACAGGCCATTCCCTACATACTGGAAACCTGAGCTTTTGGGTACCAGAGTTTTGCCTAGAATTCCCATGGAGACAATGGCCGTCTCCATAACTGAATTCCAGGAAGGTTCCGTGGGTCTGGATCCGAAGTGGGAAGTACTTGCAAAAGCCTGGATGAACCTGGGATCTGTAATCCATCCGTGTCTCCCCATGGTACAAGACTGGAACATTCTGATGAAAGCATGGTGGCATCATCAGATATTCATGGTGTACAAGATTGTGCAAGCCTCCAGGGGCTTCTCACAGAAAGCCAGCTAGACACTTCGCCGGCTAAGTGTCTGGCAGCCAGAAAGCTCCACAGGCAGGCTCTGCTGAGATCTGAGGAGGACTAGTCGGAGGAATAGAAAGAATGGCTGAAGTGACAGGGAAGGCCAGCTGGTGAGAATGTCCGTGTGAATAAACACATCCTTATACTCACAGTTCTCTGTACCCTCCACCAAGGGTTGCAAACTGCTACGAAATTAAATGCAGGTACAACGATCATTTTAAAATGACCCCAAAATTCCTTTAAAGGAGAAAAAAATAGATGTGATCAGGTACCTGGAGTGATCTAGTTACCTCATTGTCCTGAAACTAAGAAAAAAAAATACAATTTTTCTGGGTTATATCATTTTCCAGTGACAGAAAACAAGACAGAGGGGGTTTTGTGAACTTTTTTTTTTTTCCTGGAAAATACTTTCTCTTGGCACTGAATATCAAATTTGTCCTTGTCCAAAGGGTAGTGGGTACCAAAGAAGGAAGTTCCCTTTTTACAAGGTAAGAAAAAACAGCACTGTCAAATATAATCTTCTATACTGATGCTCTGAAAAAGTCAGGCCCTACCATTTGGATTTATTTCTGTGAAGACATTTCTTTGGGATGCCAGCATTATATTTTTTCCCAATGTTCTCAGTTCATACTGAGCCCAGAGTTTAGAAACTCAGAGAAATACAAAACTTGGATGCCTATCTAGTTCTTCTTGCAAATCTCTGTTGTACACAGCACACATCTTTTATTTTTTTAATTTTTAATTTAAATTCAATTTAGTTAATGTATAGTGTATTATTAATTTCAGAAGTAGAGTTTAGTGATTCATCAGTTGCATATAACACCCAGTGCTCATTACGTCACGTGCCCTCCTTAATGTCCATCACCCAGTTACCCCACCCCTTCACCCACCTCCCCTCCAGCAACCCTCAGTTTGTTTCCCAGAGTTAAGAGCCTCTTATGGTTTGCCTCCCTCTCAATTTTCATCTTATTTTATTTTTCATTCTCTTCCCCTATGTTCATCTGTTTTGTTTCTTAAATTCCACATATGAGTGAAAACATATAATTATCTTTCTCTGACTGGCTTATTTCACTTAGCATAATACCCTCTGGTTCCATCCATGCCATTGCAAATGGCAAGATTTCATTCTCTGTTATGGCTGAGTAATATTCCATCGTGTATATATCCCACATCTTTTTTTATCCATTCATCTGTTGATGGACATCTGGACTCTTTCCATATTTTGGCTATTGTGGACATTGCTGCTATAAATATTGAGGTGCATGTGCCCCTTCAAATCACTATGTTTGTATCCTTTGGATAAATACCTAGTAACACACACACACACATACCCCTTTCAGTGGGCCAGAGACATCCTTCCATAGTGATCTCTGAAATGTTCCCTTGCTGTGTTATCAAGGCAAAGTGTCCCTGGGCTAGAGTAGGCTGTTAGGTATGAAGCAGAGCTTATATTTGGGACCTGACTATGTCAGGGTATTTGTAGTTTCTGAAATGTTCTCTCAATTGTATAGCTTACTTAAATATAACATTTAAAATGAAATGCATTTTTTGGCACAGAGTTTTACAGTTGAGTGTTGTCACAGTTTCCTTTATAGATTCTCTTTGAAAAATAATGAAAGACGAAGAGCTCAGAAAACCAACCATAAGAAGTTATAAATTCCCATAAGATGATTATCTTTCAGGACAATCAATCACACCCTCAGAGGCATCACTGCTAGCAGCATGGAGGCTAAAATTCAAGTACCTCTTCTCCCTATGACAGCTCCTTCAGTCCTGCTTTCCAGGGATCAACACTGTTGACCAGCTGGGAGGCTAGGAATCTGTAATGTACACGATTACTTTGATAAAGATAGCTTCAGCCTCATCACTGCGTGCAGAAACGTGCTCCTTGTGCTTCTTGGGAAAGCACAGCCCTGGGGGGCGGGGAGGCAATTGTAGACACTGCACAACTCAGACCGTGGCATCTAGAGCAGAGTTGCTGGAACCGGAGATGAACTAAACAACCTGGTGGTATAACCATTGCCCCAGCATTTAGGAACTTTTCACATGGTTGGCTCAACTGGCCATGAGCAGCTGAGTCTGGTGACCTGCAGCGAGCCCTACCTGGATCATGTGTAGACCTTGGTTGCGGGCCCCGTTCATGTAACTCTTATCTCTCTTGGCTCACATCTCCTCTTTGCTATACCCTTAGCCATGCCCTCAGACCCACTTCTAGGTAGAAGCTGAAATTAAGCATCTCGGTCTACACCTAGCCTGGCATCTCTGTCCTTCCGGCTCCACTTGGTCACATTGCTTCCATGGGGCCAGGAGGTGTTGGGGTAAAAACCCAGAACTATGAAGAGAGTGACTCGCTGGTTCAAGGTCCCCCACCCAACTTGCTACTTGTGCCCAGTCACCACCAGAAAACTGAAACATGGGTAAAGAAGCCATACATTTTCTTTTTATTCTTAGAGCATCTTCAAGGACAAAATCAACAACGGATGATTTTAGATTAGTCTGGCAAACTGAGGTTAATGTGCTCTTTCTCCTGAAATGCCTTAGCTCTTCAGGACGGTTGCAGCTTGTCATATTTACTCATAAATTAGCACTTGGAAGATGTACAAGGATCTGTTTTTTGCTGCATCTAGGCTGCAAGGTTGTTTAAAAAAATTTTATTTTAAAATAACTATAGATTCACAGGAAGTTGCAAAAATAATACATAGAGTCCCCATATAGCCTTCTCTTAACTTCCCCCATATGGTTGTTACATCTTATGTAACTATGGTACAATTTCAAAACCAGGAAATTGACATTGGTACAATATGTGTGCATAGTTCTGTGTCATTTTATCCTATGGGTAGAATCTATAACCACCACCACCACCACCACTATAACATAATCAGTTGTTTTTAGCACCACAGAGATATCTCTTGTGCTACCATTTTATGGTCCTGCCCACCTTCCACCACCTCTCACCAGTGTGAAAGCCTGGCAACCACTGATCTGGTTTTCACCACAATCATTTTGTGCTTTGGAGAATGATCTAAAAATGTAGTCATAGAGTATGTGACTCATGGAGATTGGCCTTCTTTACTCAGAATAATGCTATTGAGATCCATCCAAATTATTGCATGTATCAATAGTATGTTCCATTTTATTGCTGAATAGTATTCCACGATATGGATATACCAGAGTTTGTTTAATCATTTGCCCATTGAGAGAAATTTGGCTGTTTCTATTTTGGGGCCATTACAAATAAAGAAGACTATTTACATTTAATGTAATTATTGAAATGTTAGGATATATATCTGCCATTTTATTTTTTGTTTCCCTGTTTATACTTTTCCCTGTTGTTCATTTCTCTGCTTTCTTTTCTTTTTTTTTCTTTTTGCCTAACTGTGCATTCCTGAAAGATTTCTTAAAATTCCACTTTATCTGTAGTATTTTTGAGTATATTTCTTTGTATGAATCTTTTGTATAAATTTTAGTTGCTTGAGGGATTGCATTATACATACATAACCTAACACAGGCGACTGGCATAGAGACTTTACCAGTTTGAGTATAAAAACCATAAGTCTTTTAAATCTTAAAGTCTTCTTATAAAACTTTAATTTTCTATGACGTATGTCTATCATTTTCTTAAACATTTCCTCTATATATGTAAAAAACATTCACCAAATATTTCCCAAAGTCATTTTCACACACAGGTGGTCTAAAGCAAAGAGAGACAAAGTGAATTTAAGAAGCAAGTCAGTATCTTGGCCAGCACCAGAGAGCCTGGCTTCCAGAATGTTCCCCTTACCACTCTCTTTCTTCTCCTAACCGAGGGCTTTTCTTCTTCAGAGTGGTTTATTCTTGTTGGCTGATTAGTCTTCAAGTTTTTGCCATTAGCTACTCTAGGGAGATGTTGAACGGATCCTGGGGATGGAGACACAAGACACTGAGGCAATTACTCCAGGTCATGGAGGCAAAACACAGCAAGGGCAGAGGTCACAGAGGGGTCACCTAGGTCATGCCTGGCTTTCAGAGAGGGCAGTGACTGGGTTAGCCTAAATAGGGTTTTTGTTCTGTTTGTGGAAAGGGAAACCCCATGGTTTTCCTACCAAGTGTTTTTAGGCTTAATACAATTTTCAGGAAAGAGAACTGACTGTATTTTAGAGCATGAAGGAATGTCAACATCAAGCCTTTTCCTTGATGAGAAAAAAAAAGAAAATGTGCAAGACGATGCCTGACTCATCTCTATCTCCACTCTTTGCTTCACTCTACTGCCAGGGTGTCCTGACTAACAAGGTGTCTAACATGAATATCTCCTGTGGCAAATCAAAGCCCCCTGCCCATTTATTTATCAGTCCCGGTGAAGGTAGACACAGTTATAACCCTTTCCTAAGACATGGCTGTGAGAATGAAAGCATTATAAAGCACCTAGACCAACAATGGCAAATAAATGTCATCTTGCACACCAACCACTCAGTTGGCAGCGAATCCGGGATCGATGCCTGGAGGATGTTGAGGACAAAGCACCATGGAAAAAGTATGGTGTGACAGAGCAGGAGAGGGAGTAGGGGGCAAATTCATGGTCCAGAACAAGATCCTGGCTAGGAGCACAGGGAGACATTTTTTCTTAATTCCTGTTCTCTGCCAATTCCTTTGAGTGACTAAGAGGGGAACACTAATTCTAAAGAAAAAGTGTTTCCAGGGGTTAGGAATGGAAATGGGTAGTATCCAAATAACTGGCCACCACTCTGTTTGGATCATATGCTCTGCATGGATTTTGTACTTCTTGGTGAGAGACGAAGTACCTAAAATAGCAAAATGGCTACCTTAGGGACATGTTCAAGGCCTCATGTACTAGTGGTGGCTCCTGAGCCTAAGGCATGACATCCCATCATGTACTTCACAGACACAACTGCTCCGTTCATCTTGGGAAGGGCTTCTAGTAAATCACTTCAGACATTAAATGAAGGGGAAAATGTAAAGGATGATACTCTCAAAGCTGACCAGGATGCAGTGAAACAGATTCTCCAATATATTACTTGTAGATACATAAATGTGTGATCTTGTTGTAAACTATTTCATAGCATGTATCAAAAATTATTTTAAAAAACACACTGTTTTCAGGAATCAAACAGGGTTGCTGGAGTGGAGGGGGGTGGGCGGGATGGGGCGGCTGGGTGATGGACATTGGGGAGGGTATGTGCTATGGTGAGCGCTGTGAATTGTGCAAGACTGTTGAATCACAGATCTGTACTTCTGAAACAAATAATACATTATATGTTAAAAAAAAAAAAAGAAGAAGATAGTAGGAAGGGAAAAATGAAGGGGAGGAAATCAGAGGGGGAGATGAACCATGAGAGACGATGGACTCTGAGAAACAAACTGAGGGTTCTAGAGGGGAGGGGGGTGGGCGGATGGGTTAGCCTGGTGATGGGTATTAAAGAGGGCATGTACTGAATGGAGCACTGGGTGTTATATGCAAACAATGAATCATGGAACACTACATCAAAAACTAATGATGTAATGTATAGTGATTAACATAACAATAAAATTTTTTAAAAAACCACATTGGGCTCATCCTGCATATAAAAAAATAAATAAAAAATAAAAAACACACTGTTTAACATATTTGCAATAATGAAGCTACACCAAGAAAATAATGCAAAATAGTTTTTAAAGTCTTCATCGTATAGGCTTTCATCACAAAATTATTTCTATTAGTGAAAAACGAAACAACTTGAATGCCCAATAGTAACTTATGTGTGTTTGTTCAACTGGCTTGCGGATGTTTTAAATTATGGTTATTAAGACCATGTAACAACATGGATTTCAAAGCAGGATAAAAATGAGGTAAATGCTGTAATTTTAACTGCATATAAAAATACATACAGAAACGTAACCAGTAAGGAAATCTGTTAGTATTATAGCTGGCTCACACTGTAGAGTTGTGGATACTTTAAGATGTTATATTTAAAACTATGTTGTGGTTTTGTTATTTTTATAATGGAAAACATTTAATAAAGGGAAAAGCTGAAAAGGGAATTTTGAATCGTATTTTCGGAGATTTTGGAGAAAGAGTTGTCACAGCTAAGCATTACAAAGGAAAGCAGTGAGGAGTGAAGAAGTATGCTGTCTGCTATGCTTTTTCATGTGAAAAAGAAACAAGCTAGTCCCACTGAATTAACAGATTTCCCTGCTTTTCCACTGACCACTACAAAGCTTGCCACCAACATAGGAAAGTCTTGATTAGGAAAAAAAAAAGTTTCCTAAATATATCTTCCTTGATTCTTTTCCTTTTAGGCAGTATGAAGTTATGATTGAGTGTGAGTAAACAGTACAGAGAAGGTTCTCGGCTGCTATGAGAATTGTCACCACCACTGTCAGTTCTGCCAAAGATCTAGTGTGACTAGGGACACTGTCCAAAGTAGTATTTCAGCTTTGAGATGTACCAAGCTTTAGTTCATACAGAGAACTGACTTCTATTGAGTACTTCCTCTGTGTGCTATCTCCTTTAGATGCACAACAACCCTTGCAGTTGGGTCTGGTATTATTCCCACTTTACAGTGAGGGAACCAAAGCTAAGTAAGATGTCCAGGGAAATGAAAAGAAAGAGGCAGAGCTGTCCTGGACCTAGATCTGTCCAGCTCCAGAATCTTTGGCTTTTCTCTATGCCAGGCCAGCTCTGCATACAGTTGGCCCTGATCTCCTAACTTTCTCAGACAATAACATTCTGTCCTGTCTTCTTTCAACTGGTCTGCACAGGACAAGGCAAGTCCCCCCCCCACCCCCCAGACAGAGTCCCTGCACCTAGCACAGTGCCCGGTAAGGTATTTATTTATTGACTGTACCAACCCATACCTGCACCCATTCTTTCCTTACTCCCACAAGAGTCTGGAAAAGAATTGGACATAATAAGATGGGAATGCAGTCTCATTCATTTACAGCCAGTCAAGAGCTTGCATATTCAGTCTAGAAAGCTCCCAGAACAAATTGTGCATGTGCAGACAAGAGAATACTGCTTTCAGCCCAAGATATTACCTGCCAACACTTAAAGATAATATCTGCCCATCTCTGTGGCTCAGTTTTGTCACCTTCCCGAGACTGAATGTCCATTTGCCCTCCTACCAATCCATGCTCTGAGATTCCTGACCTCTAAAACCCTGAATCAAAGCATTCCCGCAGAATCAACTCCACATTTGGGAGCTGGCAATCGGTCCTGAAGTGCGTGACAGTGTGACTAAGAGCATGCCGGCAGTGTTGGCTGCCCTGGCCATGGGCTGTAGGCAGGAGAATTCTGGGAAGAAAGGGGATGGATGGCCCTTTTCTGATTCATTGTGCCTGTATGTGTGGGTATGTGCACGCAGAGAAGAGAGAAGAGGCAAAGAACTAAAAGCCTTTGGTCAACAAAATCACAAGCCAAGGAGGAAGGGAAAGGTATTTTATGGGCTTGGCTGGAGGAGCTGTTGCAAGAATGGAGGGATCCCACAGTTCCCTGTAGATGCCACTCCCTACTTTCTTCCCTCCCTCCCTTTTCCCTTCCTGACTCAGGGTCAGGATCCCTGGTCACCTCCAGTCTTCCTGGGAATCCTTGGCCATGGAGTTAGGTGAGACCAGATTGGAAAAGATGGCCTTTCTCGGTGCTGTTGTGGCCATGGTCTTGATTTTGTTCAGCTTGTCCCGGGCCTGTCGGCATTTTTTCAGGCAATTCGAACACAGATCCTTCTCTTCTACCAGATATAAGTTGTCCAGCCTTCTGATGGTATCTATGAATGTATCTGACTCCTCTGCCTTGGGAAAGGGATTTCGCTTTGTGTTGAGCTTTTTGAGCTTGGGGAGCTTGGAGATGCTCTTAGGGATGCTGGTCAGCAGGTTGTCATGTAGCCCCACCTCATGGAGCTCCTTCAGAGCCCCCAGTGTGGTGGGCACACTGTCCAGATGGTTCAAGCCTAGGTTCAAGGTGCGGGTATTCTTGAGCTGATTGAGCTCCACAGGCAGCCCATTGGTGGTCAGCCTGTTGTTGCTGACATTGAGGTAGAGCAGAGTAGTCATCTGGCTGATGGACTCAGGAAGCTTGTCGATGTAATTGCTGTGCAGGTCCAGCCACCGCAGGTTCTGGAACTTGGAGATTGATTCAGGGATTTTTCTGATCAGATTCCGGCTAAGGTCGAGCTCATCCACATCATTCAGTCTCAGGATACATTTGGGGAAGTTGGTAATTCCCATCTTGCTCAAGTCAAGGCGTTTTCTCCCATCAAATGTGATTTTGATACAATTCTTGGCCACATTGAGGGTGATCTTCTTGCCCTTGGGGCCTTTCCTGCCCTTGGCCATGTTCTTTTAGTAAGGGTGTGTGTTTGAAGAGTGTTGTTCTGATTGGTTGGTGATCAGTTTGAGGGAAAAGTCACAAGAAACTGCTAGATATACTGTGACAAGAAGAGAAAATATGTCTAGTTAGGAGATGACATGAGGGCACTAGACTCCCCCCCCCACCCCGAGTTGTAATGCTTCACTCGCTAGTGGCTAAAGGAGAAAGATGCCTGGACAGACATTAGGGCATCAGCAGAAGTCACCTCGCCAAAGATATTCAGCAAATTCAGTGTCCTCTTCGGTGATGCAGGGTCGGCTGAAGGATGCTCAATGCCCCCCTGGCTGTGCCATTCCCTGACATATAAATCTCTCCACTGTCCTGGACTCAAACATATCCCCCTCCCCCACCAAGGGGTATGTGTGTGTGTGTGTTCTTGGCTATCTGTCACTTCCCAGACCCTCACAAAAATCTAGTGTTTCCTTACAGTTATTCCATGAGTCCCTAGGGGTGGGACTGCTGAGTTCTCAGAAGCAGCATAGCCTAGATAGGAGGGAATTGGTGGGAGTTAAGAATGACTTACATAGTACATCTCTCCTCACCTTCCTTCTGGACCCAGAGGCACCAGGCAGGCCTGAGCTGCTGTCACTGCAGTGCAACAGGAACAACACAAGAGCGTCTTTCACTCAGCCCGCAAGTGGACCTGTGTGCCCACACCTCGCTGAGGAGTGTGGAGGAGCCAGGGTTGAGCCTGGCAGTAAAAGAATGCTGTCTTTTTCTACTTCCTACCCCCTACACTTCCTCCCTCACATCCTTCACACTGCAATTCAAGTGCAGACACCTCAGCACTGAGAGGTATGATTACGTTTATAACATTAGTTATGACGGCTGCCATATGGAGAAGTAGAATGGACAGAGTCATGGGTAGATTCTGGACTCAGAATGCTTGGCTTAGAAGTCTAGCTCTGCATTAAAGAATTTTCTTAAATTTTCAGTGCCATGGTTTTCTCATTTATGAAAACAGCCCCCTTATAGGCTCTTGCGGAATGTAAATTATCTAAGCTATAAAGTGCTTACAACAGTGCCTGGCACATAGTAAAAGCTTGACTAATGTTAACTATTAAATACTATTATCAGGAACTTCGCACATACTCCTTTTTAATCTCCAGTAATCCAGTAAGATCCATAGGATTGTCTCCATTATAAAGAGAAGAAGAGTGAGGCTTGGGAGTGAGGCAGATCTTCGGCTAGAAAGAGGATGCAAACTGTCCTGTCCTGTTCTAGAGACTCTTTTCTAAAACGTGGTGACTCTTGCTTGCTGATTTTCTATTTTGGACCCGGCTCCCACCCTGGACAAAAGCATACTGTCAGGAGACAGATGCTTGCATTAGCTCCATTTCCCACAGGGATGAGTGGGAGAGATGCCCTGCAGTTTCTCTAGTTCATCTTTCAGGCCCTTTATCAGGAACCAACTTTACAAAACACATGAAGCACCAGCAATCGGGCTATGTGAGTCTATCATCACACATTTTCCTCATACAGTAACCTCAGTATCAAAAGGAAGTGGGTAAAAATTACCTTCCAGGTGCTTACTATCAATCCTGCTATTGCCATTTCTAGCTAAGGTCAGAGGGTCCTACCCTACGCAAGTCGTCCTAGATCAGAGCCTCCTGGGATGGCGATCTCCATAGTAAACCAGTGAAAGTATTCTTAGCTCTCAGCAGCACTGATGTCCTTTCAGGCAGGCCTTGAAAGCTGAACCTGTTCTTTAGAAACAATGAACTAACCATATTCAGGCATAATTGGCTGGTTACCAAAGACAGTACTGTGTTCACCACTATTGAAGTTTTTATATCACACAGCATTGAGGAACTAGAAAGGATAAAGCAGATTAAAAATGAAGGCTGGGTTTCTAGCCACAGTTAAGATGGGATAAGTGCACTCTTCCCTGTTTCATCTATTGAATGCAACTAGAGGTCCCAGGCAGAACTCCTGGAGCAGCTCTCTGAGGATAAGATGAAGGATAAAGTAAAAAGATATCTGAGGATAAGATGATGAACAGTATCAGACAGATTGGAAAAGTAACTCAAAATAAGACCAAGTTTGCAGCAGTGGTGATGGAAAGATTTATAAGAAAAGCCCCTTTCTATGGCCAAAACAAAGAAAGGGGGTCTCCTGGGATCATATAGAGAATGAGGGAGATCTCCTGGTGTTTTCCCTGTTTGTTTTTTCCATCCTCTGCTGCCTGAGCCCCAGGCAATCCTGTATCACTAGAGTTAGTCAGGCAGACAGCTAAAACTCTGAGGGAGGAGAACCATTGTCTCTGACCAAACTTCAATCCCAAGGACATGCAGGTTGCTTTTTTCTCTCTACCCTACTGCCACTTGGCCCCAGAGGCAGAAATAGTGGCAAGAAGTATATAGCAGATTTAGAAAATAAAAATCCCAAGATTTCTATTCAGAGGACCAAGGAAGGAGACCACTCCTAGAGCCACAAAAGGTGATTTAAAGAGGAGGGCGTTTAATTACATTGTATATGAACTCCTGGACACACCCTGAGATGTCTATGCATGGATAAAACCCTGAACAGCATCTTTAGTACCTAATCCCAAACTGTGAACCCAAAAGCTTTGAACGTTGAGCTGAGAGGTAGACCACTGTACAGGTAGAGGTACTGATTTGAATAGCACTGAAAATTCTTTGACAACTGAATGGACACTGTAACCATAGTCTACAGAATCTACAGAAGGTGTGCCAGAACTTGTAGCCTGTGATTGCCTGCTAAAATACATACATATCAATATCAATAGATAGGTCTATCCTAGAAGAAGGAGAGGAAAAAGTCGTGGTTCAGAACAATATTTGAAGGAAAAATGGGTAAAAACTTTTAACTGTTGATAAAAGAAATAAAAATGACAGATGCAAGAATCTTAGTGAACTCCAAAGAGGACAAATAAGCTTAAAAAAATCCACACTCAGACATATAATCAAACTGCTTAAAATTAAAAACAAAAAAATTCACATTCACAACCTGCCGGAGAATACATATTATCTATAGGGGCCAGCAATGCGAATGGATGTAGGTTCCTCACTGGAAACCATGGAGGCCAGAAGCAGTGGAAATATATTTTTTCAAGTGCTGAAAGTAAGGAACAGTCAGGCAGACAGTGAATGACGGTACCCTGGATGAATGAAGGCAAAATGAGGACATTCTCAGATGAATGAAAAATAAAAGGATTTGTTACTATAGCTCGAGCTGCTGTAGAAGAAATGCTAAGGGAAGTTCTTCAGATGAAAGGGAGATGATATTAGAAAGAAACTTGGACTTGGGAATAGAGGAAGAGCTATGGAAATGGTAAACATCTGATAAACAGACTACTCTTCTCCTCTTAAGATCTTTAAAATATGTGTGACAGTTGAAAGCAAAAATTATAACACTGTTTGGTGGGGTTTTCAATGTAGGTAGAAGAAATACATATGACAACTACCACATAATGGGGGGAGGTATTGCGACCTATATGGTAGGTAAGATTTTTACACTGCTTTGGTAAAATATTAATTCTAAGTAGGCTGTGGAAAGATAAGTATGTATATTTTAATCTCCAGAGCAATCACTAAAACAATGTACAGACAGAGGAATAAATGAAATATATGCATTAAAACGAAACTGTAAAAAAATTAGAAGTCAAATAATCTAAAAGAAAGCAGAAAAGGTGAAATGGAACAAATCAAAAGCAACTATTAAAATGGTAACCTAAATCCAAACATGTTAGTACTTCCATTAAATGAAAATGACCTAAACACACCAACCCAAAGCATAATTATCAGAATGGATAATAAAAGAACAAGACCCAATTATATGCTATCTATAAGAAATCCACTTTATATAAACAAAAGTAAGTTAAACTAAAAGAATGAAAAAAGACATACTCTGCAAACACTGAAGGGAAACTGGAGTGACTTTATTAACATCAGACAACATATATTTCAGAGCATGAAAATTTACCTGAGATTAAAAAGAATACCACATAATGATAAAAGAGACACTTCACCATGAAAGTATAAAAATACTAAACATATATGTACTTAAGACCAGAGCTTTGATAGAAAAGAAGCAAAAGCTGATAAAATTGAAAAAGGAAATGGACAAATCTATAATTAGAGGTGGAGACATCAATATTTGTCTCTCAATAATAAATAAAACAGACAGGGCTTCTCAACTTTGGCTCTATTGACATTTGAGGCCAGATAATTCTTTATTTTCTTTGTTGTTAGCAGGGGTGGGGCAGTGATGGGGGAAAGCCCTGTTCCATGCATTGTAGGATATTTAGCAGCGGAAAGCCAGAAGAGTCTATGCACTAAATGCAAGTAGCTCTCCACTAGTTGTAACAACCAATAATGTCTCTAAACATAGCCAACTCCTCACTGGGGTGCAAAATCGCCTCCAGATCAGAATTGCTAATATAGAAGAACTGAACATTACCATCAATCAACTGGATCTAATTAACACTTAAAACAGTCTACCTAAAAAATAAAAAAAAATAAAAAATTCTACCTAGCAACGGTATACACATTCTTTCCAAGTGCACATGGAACATTCACAAATATGGACCATATTCTTGGTTATGAAACAAACCTTAACAGATATAAACAAATTGAAATAATGCAATATTTTCTCTGAAAATAATGGAATTAAATTAGTAATCAATATGAGAATGATAACTGGAGAATCTCCAAATAGTTAACAAACCACATATTTATAAATATTCGTGAGTCAAAGAAATCTCAAGGGAAATTAGGAAATGTCTTGAACTGAAGAAAAATGAAAATAGAACATATCCAAACTTATGGTATGCAACTAAAGCAGTGATTAGAGGGAAATTTATAGCTTTAAATGTTCATACTAGGAACATTTTAAAAAGGAAGAAAGGTCTCAAACCAATAGTGTAAACTTCCATTCAAAAAACTAGCAAAGAAGAGCAAAAAAACCTAAAGCATGCAGATAGGGTAAATAATAAAGAAAGAGAAGAAATCAATAAAATCGAAAGGAGAAAGACAAAAAACTTATATATTCCCAGCAATAAATAATTGGAATTTGAAATTTGAAAAATAATAAACT